TGTGTGTGTGTGTCTATTATTAGGTCTGGATGTGATTCTGGTTAGTTAAAGGCAATACCCTGGCAGGAAAAGTGTTAAGAAACAAATGTCTTTATGCCCCACATTGTTGCTCTGTGACGCTTGCTGACTCTGTACCTGTACGTGTCCTTGTGGTTGCATAAAAGCTCCCATCACGCCGAGAGCAGCAAGGAGCCGGGGTTTTTGTGATGTGGTTGTTGAATCGGTGAGGAGTGCAGGTATAATGGTGTGATACACCCGCTTCCTCCCAGCAACGCAGTTTATGTGATTACGGCACAGGGAAAAGTTAGCGCCGCGATTCTGCAGAGATAGAACAAAGAAATCAGAATTCAACCCTTTTAGCTTAAACACTTATGTTTTATGCTTCAGTCTATGTGGTTCCAGTTTAGGAGGCTACAATGTCTTCATGACTTCATCAATACATTTACATGCACAACAAAAATGAGCTTGTAAGGTAATGTGAGCATGCAAATTAAGGTAATGAAATATGAAAATCTACAACTTTTTCCACCCAGGCTTCATTTTATATGTCTTTTTTCCCTTAGTTTCACACGGCAGCATTCATGTTCATGTAAAATTCTCTTACATATGTGCTGCTGTGTTACTGGGAAGTTTATTGTAATTATAAAAACCTATAGAGCTTTGTTAATGCAGTATATAAGAGGCAAGCTGAGAAATCAGCTGAAAGTGGTAATGCAGGATCTTGTTTTATGCTGATCACTTAAAAAATTACCCCAATTATTTGAAGCATAATCTCATATTACACTAAATTCTTAGCATTTTTCCATGATTTAGAAGAATTCCTAGTCTTTCAGTAAATCAAACAGATAAACGCCATTGCTACCTTACATGCGCACAAATAAAGACATTCTCTTTCTGACCCTTCAGACCTGTAGTGAGAATCCACAGTCTTTAGGGACCAGCCCCGTCCCAAAGCCCATATAGTTGCTGTTGACAAAGGAGCATGCATTCCTCTCACTGTCTATCACACAGAAATACACCGTGTCACTTCCTGTCATCAGGCCGGGCTCCACTCGCTCCATGGCCCTGCAGAGTCACACAAACATACAAGAACAATCATATTCATTAATAAGTTCACCTGACAGGTCGGTTTTTTACTATTGATTTATTAAAATATTTGGAAAATGAAAGAAAAATTAAGACTCAAGTAGACTGAAAAGAAAACTTGTGTTGGTTTAAGAACAAAACCAAACTACCAAGTTTGCAAAGATAATTGAAAGGTTTCATACTTATGCAATAAATGTTTCCATAAACACAATATTACAGGTATGAACGAGGGTTGAGGAGTTTTCCTGCCTTAAAGTACCTTTATCTGTAGATTTCTATTTCTTTTACAATAACCAGATTATTGCAGTGCAGTAAAAAAATATTTATAATTTCCTGTTTTTATATGACTTCCCATTATTGCCTAGTTTATTAGAAGCATCTAAACATTAAAAGTGTGAAGAGGTTGTGAGGATAACAAGACATCAGAATCAAATTGACGCCTCGTTTGGACCTGGTTGACTCCTTTAGGTTAAGTTGACAACCAATGGAAGCGAGACGTAGAATTAGTGTGTGGATTTGTGTCTGTTTGATGGTGCAGTGACACCGAAATGAACTCGGCAATTTCAAAAAAGCAGGATTTAATACCCGGTATACATCAATATATGTTAATACAATTATTGTGTTGTTGTTAACTTTTATAGTCTGTTTGTCTTTCCCCTGATAAAGACCAGATCAAGTTCAAAGTCCTCAACAATATAACACATTGTTTCTAAAATATACACTCACACAACGACACACGCCCTGGGTGAATGTGAGGGAAGAGACGTGAAGGGATGGGCGCTCAGGTCAGGGGAAGTATAAGTCTACAGACCTATCTAAAGTCAACAGAGGACGACTGGTACACACTGGTACTAACAGATATACACACGCAGAAACACACACCTGTCCGTGCTGATGAGCTGTGCTCGCTGGTGACTGTAGCCCTTGTCCAGCAAGGTTTCCAAAGGGATAGTCACATGACTTGAGTCACCCAGGTAACGCAGAGCATCTGTTAGAGCCAATCGCACAGCCTCAACCAGTACATGGATATAGTCAGAGCTGTTATGGCCTTTAGCTACACACACACACATACGCACACACACAAACACATAGAAATGTATTATAGGGCCCAGGAAAAGCCAAGTATGTAGGTTCATGAACTCTGACTGCACAAAAACAAAAACAGTTACTTATTTTACAATTTACTTTCTGTCAGTGTAAAGAAGTAGTACAAATTTAATCCATAAGATAACATAAGTTACGTGATAAAGAAGTGGTGCTGTAGTGAAAGAAATGAATTAATTAGGACTCTTTGGACTTAAATTAGAAGAAATTAATGTGTAAAACTATAGAAAAAAGTTGCTATAGCTCATTGTCCAGTCTCTCCTGCAAATATAAAATGGTAATTCACAAAAAAAAATCTCTTTTTATAAATGTGGAGCCCATGGGGGGAAAAAATCTGTAGTAAATAGCGTAAAAACAGAAAGATTTCTAGCTTTTCACTGTATATCTATCACATAATTACTTTGGTGCAGTATAAATGGACACGGGGAAGGTCCTTATCAGTTACAGTTACAGATAAAGCTTTCTTCATATTTTCCAAAGCGGTCCAGGGGGCCGGTTTAGAGTCTTTGCTGGACAGATTCTGGCCCCCGGGACCTTATGTTTGGCATCCCTGCTATTTGGAAAAAAATTAACCTCACAGAGGTTAGTTTTTGTGGACAAGCATATCCTTTTCCCTTTTTGGTCAAAGGTAGATCAGAGCACACTGCGATGTGTTCCAGCGCAGGGACGGCAGGTCGGGCCAGTGAAATCACCAGCGAGCTGACTTCCATAATGCAGGAAAATCCATTTTAATTTTACTGTTTTATTTATATTTTGAATGTCTCTTTAGTTTTTCTGCTGAGCAGCTTTTTATTTCCCCTGCGCTGGGCTGGGACAAACAGGCAGAACACTGTAACTAACTGGGTTGGGTTATAAAATGTGATTTATGAAAATGTAGGAGATATATGGTTTTTATTTTTATGACTCAGCCACTTCTCTAGACTCATATTTACTGTATACTTAAGATTTTACAACAGGCAATAATGCACCTGGCAGGGACTTCTTCACTGTCCCTGTGGTTACCTTTGAGTTGAGGAAAGTTCTCCAGGATGTTGAGCATGAGCAGGGCAGCCAGTCCCTGACTGTTAGGAGGAAGCTCCCACAGACGTACACCCTAAACACACAGTGAAGTCAAGTTCATTCTGCTGACCATGTTATTAAAATACACACATGACCGGCATCTTTGGTTTCTGACCTTGTACTCTGTGCTTATGGGGGTGATGACCTCGCTGTCATGGCTGCTCAGGTCACCCAAGGTCATGACTCCCCCATTTTGGTTGATGACGTCAACAATGGCCTGGGCCACTCTGCCCTGGTAGAAAGCTGGCTTGCCACGCTCACCGAGCTCCTGTCGATACATGAGCTCATGTACTGCTCACTCAGCCACAGTACAAAACGTTTTACAGATGGTGGTTAACATGATATCGAGGAACACTTGTCCAGCGTTTAAAAGTTCACTCCAGTCAATGTGTGTGTGTGTGTGTGTGTGCTTGTGACTTTGCCCCACAGTGAAGTCACGCACAACTATCGAAGAACAATCAAAGAATCTAATCATCAATGAGGCTGAGGTCATCGCTGTTCTTTCCACTGCCTCATGGTCATGAGTGTAGGTGTGTGCGTGTGTCTGTGGGTGTTGAGATAGGGCACATTTGGCCATCTTCCTGCGTTATGGTATTATAAACGCTTGATTGTTTGAATTGATTTCAATCAATGCATATTTTAGTGGTGACTCACAAGCAGGCAACCACACACTCAGATAAACACACAATGACATAAGCCATGGTTTTCTTTAGTCTGACTGACTCCGGAATCTATGAAATGACAATAGTTGTATAAATGTGCCATTACATATACAAAATTAGACACAGAGTCATGGCTGAACATTCACATGAAGGTGGAGTACTTACAGTACTGACACATGGCACTAAAAAAAGCAGCATTCGCATTCCAGTAGCTGAATAAAGCTTAAGTTCAGCTTTATTGGCTTCAGGTCATAACAAATTACTCACAGTAACTTTTAAAACTACACTTAAAACATAATCACCATTTTATTTGTCAGAAGCAATACATCACACAAATCCTTTTTTCCCTCTACTGACTATCTTGTTACACACTGTACCCTGTCGAATTTTGCCAGGTCTTGCCAAGCTGTACAGCCAGAATGCTGACACCACATGAGCCATTTTGCTGCCCTTATATCCTCAGATGGGGCTTTTCTGCCCAAAGACAAGCTTTTAAAAGTATCACATACATCCATCCATTTCTATCTAATCCCCATTATCTATTGTTGTTCTGCTTTCACTACTTCCTCTCCACTGTTCCATTACTCTTCTCTTAGAGATTTAACTTCCTATGATACCTCTGGGCTTATCCAAGGCCTTGTAGTATAAAAGGCTAAGTTACATTTAGAAAACTCCTATAATGACACAGAACAAACAGGGGTTTCTCACAACTTCTACATTGTTGTGTTTCCTTCTTGTGTGAATAACACAAGTTATTAGAAATAAATGACCTTCTGCTCCTCAAGTGACCTGTGGATTTACCTTCAAAGTTCGAGCCAGGCCAGTGTTTTGGAATACTTGTCCACATTTGGGCGCATGACCGTCAATCATCAATTCTACACCCAGTTCCTTTCCAGCATCCCTCAAAGCAGACACCCAGTTCGCCCAGTGGTGAGCTGTTAACTCAGCCACAGGAAACCCCACCTCTGCTAGTTCCACAGCCCCACTCAGGACCTCCTGTAAGGACAGCTAGCAAAGTAGGCAGAGGAAACACATGCATGTAACAGGAAACTGAACTGAACAGGAAGAGTGAGATACTGCTCCGTGACAAAATAAGCAAAGGATACAACTAATTTACAATTTTCTGAGGGAATTCCACTAATTTGAATGTTAGTCATCAAGCAATGTGTTTGATTTTCCTTCACCGCCATTTACATTGCACGTCATTTAACCTACATATAAGGTGAGAAGTAATGAACAAGTCATATTGATCTCTGTTGCTTCCAATATAATGGGAGTCTTTGAATATAATGGGAGTCTTTTTTGTTTGTTTTTTTAGATAGACTTTGTCCCCACTTTCAAGGACCTGCATCAAATTTAAGTTATTGCAGCTGTGACCAAATAAAGGAAATCTCTACAGAGGCAATGACAAGCTTTTCCATTCTTTGTTGATGTCTCTTTGGTTCAAAGTCAAGTCCTATTTCCAGGCATGTTTGTGCATGCTGGTCCCTTCTGCAGGGTTTATAGGTATTTACCTCAGTCAAATGATTTATCTCAGACGGGCTGCCAGAGTGTTCTATAAAACACTCTCATGTCACAGATATAGAAGACAAACATAAGTAAACCTTGTGACTTCCTAGCAGCTGCACAGTATCACACCAACATGCTGGGGCCCCAGGGACTGTAACATTCAGAGCATCAAACACTGAAGGAGGCCTCTCTGCGGTGTAACCTTGTCCTTCCAGGAAGTCCAGGGTCAGTGCTCGGGGAGAATGACCACTGAGGACACAGAGAGAGGTTTCGTTCGGTTTATTTTTGCACACATAGGGAAAAACAAGGAAAGCACCAAAGGATTCCCCACCTGCCATTAATCCCTCTGATCTCTCCAGTGTTTCCGTTGTAGAACAAGCAGAAGGCGTCTCCACCAGGGCCGGTGCTACACGGCTCTGTTACTGCCAGGGCTGCTGCTATGGCAACTGCAGCATCTGCCGCATTGCCACCACGCTTCAGGACATCTGGACACAAATATGTACCCATGACTGATGGATGTGACTGGTTTGTGCAACATATTAGATCACAACAGCATTCCTAGCATGAAATTGTCATGGTCCGGGGTCTTGGGCCCTGGGTTTTGCGTTTTCTTGGGCTTTTAATTCTTCACTATTTATTTTGGTGTTCTGAGGCCTGTACAGCAAAGCTGGATTTGGTTTTGTCCACATAACCTAACCCAGGGCTTTCTATACTGTGATAGTGGTTCTTTTCTTACCAGGGTACATCACCATAGTAACTTATGCTGCAAACCAAATCTGGTCCAAAGCATGTTATGTTATGTAAACTCACCTCCTAATGATGAGTCAAGTCACAGTGTCACCATTCCTGGAACAACCCCTCTGACCTCTGTGCTCAGATAGTAGGGGGGTTTAAAATAGTTTTAATAGCATCTAATGTCTTTGTTTATCCCTGATGAGCATCAGTAATAATGCTCATCTTTGGGGTCTTTGTATGTTTGGTTTTTTTTCTTCCTGTTGGCTGCATGCAATTTTACGACAATTTTGTTGTTCTAAAAGTATTCATATAGAAATCACTGCGCCTATTTGTACTTGTGGATCTCTCTTGTTAGTTTTGATTAGTTTCACCTGTTTCTTGTTACCGATCTGTTTCCACTTTCCACTTTTTTATTACAACAGCTTACAAATAAACAGCTTTTGACATTTAACTCTCAGCGTCTTTGCATTTAGGTCTTTACCTCCATACACTCCAGCATAATTTGACAAAAAGAACACTCCCACATCATGTTTTAGCTGAATTCTTTTCTCACAGCCCAATTTAGCTTTTTAGATTTACAAATGAGCTTATATATTTATTGTAGATGTCACAAAACACCAACAAACCAGATTTATGCTCACTTCTATAAGCAAATGTGTAATTACTGTTTAGCCTTTTTTGGCCCACATTAATAACTGGTTATATAATCAATATACAATTAAGTGAATATGTGTGACTGAACACTTTTCTCTTATAAGTTCATTTGACACTCCTTTTTTAAAATGGTAATGCTGAAATGTGTTTAGAATTTTCTACTGTTCACAACGCTTTTTTAAAATAAATTTCAATACCATCTCATTTATGTCATGCAAACCATTTTTGCTTTAGACTTCAACCACCAGCTCCCTTTCCCTGTTCTTGATTAAGTACTGCTAGAGCTTAATCATGCAGATATTATTCTCTGAATCTCCAAGCACGATATCCCAGTACATTTCAGACCCAGCCACACCCTCAGACAAAAATTGGTTACCCATTGGAGTGCTCAGACCTCTTCACTGAAGAAACCAAACAGCCCCCACCTTGACAGGATAAGACATTTAAAGGATAAAGGTCACTCTTTTGAGGATTCCAATGTTTGCATTTTGGACAGAGAAGACAGGTGGCTTAAAAGAGGAGTGAAAGAGGCCATCTATGTCCACTGTGAATGACCATCTTGGAAAGATCAGAGGAGGTGGCTTACCTAAAATGCAGTTTTGAGATCCCCTCCGAGTCACCTTCACCTCAACCCCAAATCACATCTTGTGTCAGGTGTTGTCAATAGGTCACATGGCAGGGTGAGGCAAAGTTTTACAATGGTTTCACCCGAAACCTCTGCTGATAATGACCTACGCCTTTTTTCATACCTTGGCTCATGTGATGGGGCACATGATCAATATTGGCTCAAAAGATCCACGATCCATATCCAATGGCTGAGGACTCCACAGATATTGTCAGTTTCGGGGCTCTGCAAACTATATTCTACTTATATTTGTATCTCAGAAGCACCAGAATATATTAAACAGAAATGAAAGCATAGACAGAACTGGCTCCGTGAGGGGATCATATACATGCAAATAGGAATACTACTCTAACTGGAATACTAATCAATATTGTGAGATGTATTGATTTTTTTTAAACAAATCAGCCAATCACAATCAAGCTAGGTGAAACAAGACATTACGAGAAATGATCGACACAATAACAATTTTATACCTATAATCGGGATTCTGACCTATATGCTCTGTTGTATCTATTTTAACTAATGCATTGTCAAGTCCCACAAGGAAGCCTGACATAAGGTTCTGGTATCCAGCTGCAAGGGTTTACGAAGGGATCCATCGGTGAACTGAATATCTTTCAGTCTTAAATTGCTGGTTGGACCAAACCAGTATCTAAGACTTTCTAACATCTTATAGACAAAACATAAACACTGAGGTGGCTTCAAACATATAGCTTATAGGTGGAGAAGGATTTTGACTGGAATACAGGTGCATCCAATTTTAGTGGCCAATATAAAAATATATATACATTTTCACCTGTGTTTTCATCTAGCTTAAGGTCGAATTATTTTTCTTTTTTTAAGTATTCACAGCACATCGATATATATATATACGATTAAGAAAAGTATCTTTATGACTCTTTGTGACCAATACTATAATAAATCCAGCCCTTTTTGGCCGCCGCCCTCTTGGCCAGATCTCTTATTTGTGGCTCAAAATGACTTGATATCTTTCATGAGAGATACGTTTGACATATGTTTAACAGATTATTGACAAGTAAGTCATTTATAACGGTTTAAATACGGGCAGTGATGTTTTGGCACATACCGGAAATCCCTTTTTGGCTCAGCATAGTCTTCATAGCAGTTGCTGAGATTTGATGGTTTAATAGCATCAGATTAGCGCTTACGATACCAACTGAATCTTTACTGTCACCCTTTATTTTTTGTCTTTTGGGTTACAAACATGTTGGTAAATTTTGCGTCACGCAGTCAGATTCTTTGTGCTCATACTTTGAAATAAGAATATAAAAGTTTTTGGCTGTCTTTTCGTTTCAATTCTCCACGGCACTCCACCCACTTACCCAGTCCTATACTGGAAGCTAAAGGTTGGCTGGAGGCCACGCAGCCGTGTAAACACACAACAGGGGACCGACGAGAGGAAAAAGTCAAGTCGGTTCCCATTCTGGTTTCAAATATCAGCGACTGAGGCAGAAACTACGTGAAAATGACGGACGAGTAAGAAAGAGAACTGGACTTTACTCCTCTGATCGATTGCTCTGATGTCGACAAGGCAGACAAGATAAGCGTATCGCAGACAACATCGATCATTGATCGGCGGGATAATCATTATTATTGTTGTTTTTGTTGTTACTGCTGCGTTTATGTGCCACTTTATGAATTGCTTTAAGGTTAAGTTTTCACTCGGAAAACTGAGAACTGGCACAATCTCAACACTAACAGAAAAAACTACAACGGAATCTCATAATGGAATATCTAATGGAAATTGTTTTTCCATTAGATATGTGGGTTCTTTCAAAGGTGGAACAAAGGTTAAATCGGACTATTAAAACAATAAATAAATAACAAAATGCACTTTTGTACTTGAATGGAATTTTAATAATTCAATTTAATTTAATTTAATAATTCACTAAATACAAAATAACAGCCAGAAAATACAATTCACAATCCAAGTGTTTAAAGTTTTATAGTTATCTAACAGCTACTCACATTTGTTAGCCTTTTATAGGGAGTTCACTTAAAGCTTACAGTAATGGAGAATTGTCGCTATCAATAGTAACAGGTATATTTAAAAATGTGTAAAGAGACTGACCAAATACTGTAGATCCACCTGAGGAAGCCAAATATAGTTTACTGTATTTGTTTACTTCTGCCAAACAAGGAATGCTTTTTATGTGATACTAGATGTCTTTTGTCAACATGTTTTCTTCTTATTCACTATATTAAAAGCCAGAATCATTCCAGAAGCAAGTCTGATTGCTCAGCAGTCATCTTGAAACATCTCCAGGAATTTAATTGAACAGTTACTGCGAAGTAGTCTTTAATTTCACTGTTTGTCTTGATATGAAAACTGGAAGTTATAGTGTGGTATCCACAATCATATGATGTTGTGGAAGGGTTTTTAGGCCAGCTTAAGATCCAATAGTTGATGCTTCTCTGTAATGTCTCTATCATAACTAAAATCACAGGGACAGGTTCACACAAAAATAGATATCAGAGACCAATGTCTAATCCAGATCCTTGTTGTTAAGTAGTTCACCCAGATTACCTTGAAAAGACCAAATTAAATTTAACCAATCAACATCAATAGATGCCTTCATTTACAATGAGAGTTGATTAAAGACAGAATTCACATGTTATTCGCCCAACAAGCTTTCGTATTTAATCGATAGATAATTTATTACGAGAAAGGCTGTGGTCCACTGTACTTCTACTGGGTGTTTCTGACACTTCTACAGTGATTAATGATGAACATTGCTCGTAATAATGTTCCACTCCAAGATTACTCACTGTGTCAGGTGACTAACAGCTAAGAGGGCCTCACTGTATAGACCAACTGTCTGTCACTTCCTCTTCTGTCTCCATGTGAACTCAGTGTAGAACATTAACTAGTGTGACCGCTGTGTCTTCACTGCTGTGTCTGTGTGCACACACAGGCATGTAATTCAGCATTAATGGCTCTCGGTGTGTTTGCATGCAGCCATGAGCATGTGCATGTGTATTTGCACATTGCGTGCACAACTGGGAGAGATCCTGCCATATTACAGCTGCCTAATGTAAAATTGAAGCAATGAGATCACACAGAGATAGGCGGGGATGGGGTGAAGGGAGGGTGAGGGGAAGGCGTGGGTGGGGGGTGGGGAGAAGGGAGAGGGGGATTCTATAAAGGCTCATTCAATTATTAACTATTCTCACATATCTGGGACAGGTGAAGCAGACGCATCATTCAAAAGGTCTGAGATTTGGTGAGAAACTTTTAGGGTGTGTTGGGGACACTGCGCTTAATACAGGTCGAATGTAGTAGGTGCAGTGATATTCTTCAGTGCCACAATCTCAACATTTTATCGTTTGAGCCCCTTGAAGTGGATAAAGACTGGGCTTAATTTAAGTCTAAATCATTTCGCTGAGATAATTCAACGGAAACAGCATCCCAGGTGGAGTTTTAAAGTTCCCTTCTCTAACTTCAGGTGTTGTTGGTGTCGTCGGGAGTTGTCGAAACATCAGCGTCAGAATGTGTTCGGGTGGCTTTGCTAGATGTCTGGGGTTCACTCTGATACCCTTGTGCATTGTGTGTGTGCTCTGCAACATCCTGCTCTTCTTTCCCGGAGGAAAGTCGGTGGACAGTAAAAACATCACAGACCAGGTCTGGTACTTTGGAGGCATTCTGGGATCTGGAGTGCTGGTGAGTGCATTAGTGAACAATACAATGAAATTATGTTTTTAAAATATGAATTAATTCATCTTCAGCTCATGACGTCATGATTGTTAGCCATTAATGTTGTAATTATTGGTATAGCTAAACTTATTCTCAGTAAATAATCTAACAGTCAGTTTGGAATTAAATGGTTAATACCTGCAGAATATCAGAAAGTTGCAATGTATGTGTTATACTGCACTTAACCAGTTAATTAGACCAGCGCTCAATAAAAAGTTTATGTCACAACTCCCCTAAATTAACAGTATTAGTAACTACCAAAATAATTTTCATGCTTCTGTAATAGCGAATCCATCTGTACATGCAAACTCATTAATCAGTATTTTTTCATGTTAAAATATAATTATTGTTGTTATCCACGAATTCTCTAATTTATTGTTTTACAAAAAAGAGAGAAATTACAAAAGTATAGAATTACACCTAATTATGGTGGACCGAAAAATATGTTTTACTGATTGAATGTTATGCCAGTCCAAATTTAGGTTTAAAGTTTTTGGCACATTTCTAAAATATTTGTGTTTTCTTGTTTTTTATACATTTGTTAAGCACTGCATGTCAAACGGTGTTGTGAATAAATTGTACGCTTCTTCTTAGTTATTGTTGTTATTATTATGTGTATATGAAAACTGCACTAAGGAAAGTTTATCATTAGATACACAGTCAGTTTCAGACTGATTAACAATTTTGTTACAGCTTTAATGAATGACTGGTTCATTAATGATCTGTGTGTGAACTGTGTGTGTTTTTGGGTGGCAGATGATCTTCCCTGCTCTGGTCTTCCTGGGTCTGAAGAACAATGACTGCTGCGGTTGCTGTGGCAATGAAAGCTGTGGTCGGAGATTCGCGGTGAGAAGATTTTTCACGTTCAATTTTGATCTGTTTTTCTGAAACAAGTCTCTCCTTTAAATGAGATGTTGAGTTTCAATTGGACTACACATAAACAGCAAGTGTGACTAGTGACATCAACAATGTCACCAATCAACTGGCCCTTTAAACAACGAAAATGCAAAAAGATGCTTGAAAGGAGGCAGCTACATGGAATAAAGTGAATATGCGGTGTGTTTAAAAAAAGGTGTGACCATTAGGCCAAACCTGGCCTTTTTGCTTGGACAAGTAAAGCTCAGTGATGTTCCGTGGAGGCAAAAACACACACACATTTAACAAGACTGAAAAGGTACTCAAATATATATACAGCATACAGCTGCATTAGATAATTGCTACCTAGAGCATGACCCAGTGCACAAATGTGATCAGAAATGTCTTCAAATATTACTGTAAGTTGATGCAATTAATTGGGAATTAATCTAAATTAAAAGGAATGTGAAAATTAGATTTTTAAAAATTCCAGTCTAGGCAGAAACGTTAGACCTCTGTTCTCTGAGGACAAGGGTCTTCAGGGAATCTTCAGAAAATCTAAGTTTTCTTTGTCATTTGGGGGTTTTTTTCCCTCCTAACAGTTTTAAAACTATTAAAAAACAACATTTATATTAGAGGTATTATGCTTGAGGGTCTACCAGTCACCTGTTAACTTCAGCGTTGAGATACTCTGAGCGTGTAATGGAAAACAAACACAGTACGTATGTACACACACCCCCTCATGATTTACACAGCAATAAATTGGGAAAACACACACCCTCCCATAAAGTACTACAAATTCAATCATGGTAACACTCCCCGCACAGCTGTGTAGCACAGAGCCTGCGTTGTACAGTTAGGATCACGCAATTGATCGATACTTCAGGAATGTGTGCAAGTGTTACTTTGTGCACCTGGCCTTGAGCACGGCCTCTGGATACTAACACAATAACTTCATTGATGTCTTATTTTAAGAAGCTTAAAGGGGCATTGTTAAATGTTTTGATTCTCAGTATGAGTAACTGACCATGCCTCTCCCCACTCTCTCTCTCTCTCTCTCTGCAGATGTTGAGTTCGATGCTGTTTGCAGGTATTGGTGTTGTTGGTGCCGGTTACTCAGTTATAGTCTCAGCGGTGGCCATCAACCGTGGACCTAAGTGTTCCTTTTTTATAAACGGCACCACACTCGACTGGGGCTATCCCTTCTCCAATGGGTGAGACATAGAGAATAATCAAGTGTTAAAATGCGTTCAGTAGTTTGTTTTTTTATCACTCTGTCCATAGCAATGGAATGATCAGCATGTCCTTTCTTTCAGCTGGGTACACATGAAAGCATTTGGAATACATACAGGCTAAATTTGTAGCACCTCCAATTCTCAGTGCTCAGTGAAGGCTTCGTTTCAGATAGTGTGGGGCCTGTTTGGGGATTCTGTTTGCAGTACAGATGCATGACACAACCAGAGAGACATACAAATACTGTCTTGTAAAAGGGCTTCACGCTAAATCTGGCAACTGATTTGCTAAGAGCCAAACACTAAGAATTCTGTGCCAATGACAGTGTAGGGACTGCTGTTTATTTTAAGCACAACTAAATGTAAACTTAGATTGAACATTTAAGAGTCGAAGTGCATTAGTGGTACCTTTCCTGCACTTGTCTCTTGTATCTTAAGGTAAACTGTGGCTCATGAAGCATCTCACATATTTGCTCTTTTCTTTTTAACTCTTCCTCTACAGAGACTACCTAGGCAACGCAACTTTGAGGGATACTGTGTGTCAAGAGCCAGCGGGTGTGGTGCCCTGGCATCTGTCTCTCTTCTCTGTGCTGCTGGTCATGGGTCTGATCCAGGTGGCGCTGTGTGCTTTTCAGGTGATAAACGGCCTGCTGGGAGCTCTGTGCGGGGACTGCTGTGGAGGGGTCAGTATCTACTCTGCTATGAGTTTCTCCTTAGTTGAGCACAGTTTTCTATTTTCTT